TTAAACATGATTTTGATGTTTATATTAAACGTACTTAATGTTTAGCGTGATTTTCTATTTATTATTATAAATTATTTTCGGATGAAACAGATAAAAGTGCTCGATTAGGTTAAATCACCAATCGTGCGCTTATATTTGCATTTTTGTCGTCTTATGATCCGGATGCAGGGATCAGCTCGGGGATCAGTCCTTCATCCAGAGACCAGTCCTTCACCACGAATGATGGGTAATCTTCCGGAAACCCCCCGGTAACAACGAGTATTCTGTGAAGATTCACCAGCTCCAGTGTCGCTCCGTCCAGCTCTTGATCTCGTTTTCTGCTTGGTCTTCGGCGCCTTTATCATCGCCCAACGTTCCCGCTTGGCCAGGTCCCACGGACAATGATTCCATTCTTATTCGCCACGTACAGAAACCAATCATTGTTAGTCGAACACAAACACGTCAGTGACAGATGCTGTCAAATACAATTGATATTTAAATATTGTTGAAATAAACATGCTTTTGAATTTAATTCAAACATATATATTTTAGTTTTGAACATCCTTTCAATTTACTTTGAATAATTCATATGTTTAGAGTATAAACATTTATATTTTTGATTTAAATGAACAAAATTCGTATCCGTGTTACAATCTTTAAAAGTCAAAAATCAAAGAAAGCTATTACAATGAGATATACATGTTTTCCTATACTGCAAAGTTAAATGACTGTCCAGTAGTTTCTACATGTCTGTTTACACGCGACATATCAACAAACGTCAAAAATCGGTAAAAGCAACTCCAATAAAATAAACATAATTATCTTATAAAAAATCTTTTAGTGAGCAATATTCATCATGAAAGCAATATTCATCATGAGCAATATTGATCATATTTTACTGAATTTTCTCATAGTGCAATCTTATATGATTTTCCATTAGTTCCCACCCATTACACACTTAATCTTATATTTTTAGGTCGGTAAAATAGATTGCTGAACTTAATCGGTAAAATACGATTTTTGCTGATTTCTCGTTAGAAAACATGTTTTTACTGAATATCGGTATATACAATTACGAATTTTGGTTTACGAAAGCATTTACTGAAGTTCGGTGATGGTTTATTTTCGGTAAAATAAAAGCTGAACGCTCGGCATACAAGTACCGATATTCTCGGTAAAATTTGACAGTTGAATAAAACTGATAATTACCAAACGTTCGGTATTCTATACTTTTACCACAAACGAAGTGACAGACGGAGCGGCTCGAAAATTTTGGTGACGCACCTGCTATTGCAATTTTTCAGTGTACCACATGGCAACATGATGGCACAAGCTTCTAAGAAAATTCTATTACAGCGAACCACATTATTTTAATTGATTTCTTCGTTAGTTAGTCGTCTGTCACTTCGTTTGTGCTTTTACCGAAATTTTTAACGAAATTTCGGCTGTTGGATTCTCGGCAATTTATTTTTCCGGCCTCGGTGAAATAAACTAAGTGTGTACATATCACCAGTTTTTCACGATGAAATATATCAAACAATATTCATATACATCTGATCTATCGCTAACCACGCTTGAAGCAAAGTATTATCAACTAACCGAAACTAACGATTTTAAATTGGCTAACTACTTGACTAGCCTATTGGTCCCAAGAAAACGATTAACGTACCCCATTCTAGTCGAAGCTCTAGTACTACACAAAGTTTGTTTTGAATCGCTACATGAAACGAAAATCAATTATTTTATTCATGTGTTTCACTTATACATTTTTGCCAAAACATCAACCTTATACATTCCATAAGACAAACCACATAGGTCCTATGAGAATGCATAAAAGATATGTGTGACCGCTTATACATTTCATTTGACACATGAGCTTCATTAACTTTTTGCAAGGCGTCTGCTTATCCAGCTTTCCATGCTCGGTAATGGCGGCCTGTTTGTATGAATAAATGTATTCTTCACTGTGCTTTCTGGATGTTCGGATTTTGACCCCTCCCTTTCCCTCTCCCAGGAACAGAAGAAAATGGAACAACATACGCCCTCCAGTTAGTGTCAAAAAGCACAGTGAAGGATACATTTATTCATACAAACAGGCCGCCATTACCGATCATGGAAAGCTGGATTAGTTGACTTATACATTTTATGAATAATCAGCAATATAAATTTGCCAAAAGGTATAAGGAGATTTCTATCCGTGTATGAAAGTTTGACAGATAAAATGAGGGGTTAGTGGATTTTCCTATGTTTCGAGGGGTAAATCGATTAGCTTGGGACCGAAGAGAGTACCAGAGCTGAGCCAAAAAGTTGAGCACGTTATTTCGGGACCTTCTAGTCTTAGAGTTACCTCTATGGTATGCTAAGTAATATTTCTTGAAAGTTTTTAACAACAGATCCATAAACATGTTTATTAACATCAATAGTTGTTATTTTACATTTTATATCGTAGCTATGCTATGATGCTACTCCAGAGCTGTCTGCCAGTAAAGCTAAGTTTAGACAGGGCAAGTCAATTGATCAAGTCAGTTGAATTCAACTGACTTGAACGCGAATTGAACGTGTAAACCATGCCATTCAACTGACTTGATCAACTCACTTGAATTGAAAAAAGTTGAACCAGGCTCAACTTTTCAAACCAATTGAATTCAACTGAGTTGATCATTTGACTTGCCTAGTCTAAACCCAGCTTAAGAGTCAGAGAGTCAACGTCGGCGAATTATCTCTGGAAATGGAATGGATTTCCACTCCGGCCAATTAATATCCGTCATCCACGACATTTGAGTTGATCAGTTTCTGTCGTTCTCGGCAGCGGCACGGTTGACTTTCTTGACATGGTTAGTTAGCAAAAAACGAAGGAGGAAGCACCGAAGACGGTCGTCATCCCGAAAACCCTTTTTGGTCGGAACAGAACAGCAAGAAAGTACTCCCGTAGAGAGAACCTGTGCATTATGGAAATCCTAGCAGGTGGTCGACATGACGATGCCCGGGCGTTGTACAAAGGGGAGCAATCTGCGCCTTCAAAATAGAATATTCCAAGCGTATACGTAGTGCCAGTGCTATATTATTTTTTGAATATGCTTATATTCGTCGTACCTGGAAGTGAATAATTATAGTGAATTTAGTATTTTAGTACTATCAAAATGTTCAGAAACCTACCTTGACATTAACTAGGAATAAACTATGGAAACGGTATGTTCATTAGTATTCCCGGGTGATGTGAAAACTGAGCTCATTCTTTGGGTTTCCTCATCTTCGCATCGTCATCCTCACGGTGCAGACCTAAAAGCAGAAAGCATATTTGTATGGTTGGTGCTGTGGTGTTTACTTTCATTTCGATTTAGAGGTCTTAACACTTACTGTAATGGTTGAATCCGGATACATTATAGGCTCCTGGTCCCTTGGCAACGTTGGGCGTTCGTATATAACGGATCAGCTGGGTATATTTCACCATTTCACGAGATGCAATGACAACTTCTGCACACTCGGATAAAGTACAGATTCCATTTAACACTTGATTTAACTATAATCTTATTAACTGCCCCTGCTTAAGAGCTCTGTTAAATGTTTGAACAGAGTCGGGTAGTATCACTCCATCATCCGATATCATATATTAAGACAAGCTTGAACGGATTTTAATCCAATGATAATACCGCTTGGAGCAAATCAAATACAGAAATGTCATACAAAGTTAATTTTGGCGCAAAACTGTCGGATGAAAGAAAACATACAGAGGTTATTTTGACAGTACAACAACTTTTCTTTTGAAAGATCACACTATAAAAAATAGCAAGTAGAATGTGAAAGATCAACTTTTAAACTAAAAGAACAACATATGCGGTGAATATTTTCGTAGTTAATATCAAAAAATTCGGGAAACTTTTATTTTTTGTGTGTGCAAACAAAACTTCGGAAAACCTTTTCTCGTGATTCACGGCTCGGTTACGCAAACTGACACCATCTTTAGGTTGGGGAAAGTTTCCCCTATCCGATTATGCCTGTAATTTGCGTTCGATTGGCGAGGAAAGAATAATCAACGTTTTGTTTATAAATTTGGTTTAAAATAGGGGAATTTATGTATTCTCGTCAATCTAAGCAGCGTCCGCACTTCTATTAGCATTTTGTCAGCGTTACGCACATATATCACGTGTCTGTTTGTTAACATTCATCTGCTGCTTGCTTCTCTATCCATTCCAATCGACAGAATTTTTCAAACCGGTTTGAAAGCGATTTTACAACGCTCCAAACTTCTCAGGTGAGTGTGACTATTGTCGGCAGCCTCTTTTTCTTCGGCAACCTTCCCATTAGAACTGCGTGTTAACCAGCTGTTCTATTATCGGCAACTCGAAATCAGCCCCATTTTGTAGTGCGTATACTTCATTTGAAGAAAAATCTGGCATAATAGGATTGCTCGGTCGTACAAATATAATCAGATTGAAGCTGAAAGACTAAAGAATCGTTTGAATACATTCATGGAAGTGTGTTGATGGGAAAACATAGTGAAATTATCGTTTAAATTTTGGTTGCCGAAAACAGTCAATGGGTGCCGAAGCCAACATTTACCCTATATTGAATTGGTTTCGCTTTTTGATCGATCGAAATTCTATCCGCCAGACTATGAATATAGCGACTATACCAAAGATGAAGTCTGTCTAAACTCTGTGTTTGGTTAAAAATCGTTTGTTTTTGTAACAGGAACGTTACCAATACCTTGCTCAGTCAATAGAAGCACTCTTGAGATGTTGGTTAATGGGAATTTTGAAAAAATATCTATCTCATTGAAAATAGAAACAATTTTTGGTTCACCAAAACAAAACACATCGTTTCTCTAATTGACAAAAATGTTACATACGACCCAATCAAAAAGGACTCCAGACTTCTGTGCATAAATACAGGCAACACTATCATTCGACATTATATACCACCAAAACTGACAGTCGATATTCGCTTACGTTGGATCGACCCTCTTAGGATCGACCAAACTTTACGACAGTAATGTTTTCCGACAGGGTTAACCGTTTTCATCGCAGTCTCGGAACAGCAGCACAAAACGTCATTCACTCATTTTATATTTTTCAGCAGCCGATAAAGAAAATTAATTTTCAAGCTTTTCCGGGAGTTGTAAGACGTTCGAAACATCCTCAACGGTCTGCAAACCACTCGTTGTCGCGAAATGTGCTGATATCATTTGGAAAAGTTTCATACAGAGTTCGTTTTTGTGATATTAGCGTTTAGACAGGCGGTGGGAGGTAGGAGAAAAGGTGGCTGAGCTCTTCTCTGAAATAAGGAAAAGCCTCGGTCACATCTTTCACTGTGTGTGAGCGTTGTGAAAAGGAAAGAAGCAAAGGAAAAATTACATAAAGAAAAAGAAAAACCCCGAGGATTTTCTTCAGCTATTGCAGTTTTGGGGAAAACGGATTAACAGCTGAGCAGTTACTCAACCGAGTTTGTACCTTTTGGCAAGTTTTGGGACTATTCGAGAAGGAACCGACGGGTACTTCTTGAGGAAGCAAAATGTCTACTCCTGCTCGCAGACGTCTAATGAGAGATTTCAAAAGGTAAGGCATAGTTTTATTTTAGTTAGACGTAAGAAAATTTACACTCAGTATGAAATCCTTTATTCGATAAAATTTTACGCTCAATCTCTTTGTTTTGATTGGCCTGACTCACTAGCTACCTACATAACGTATCGCAATCGCAATGGATTAAGGAGAAAGTTTGTTATATAGTCCTCTTCGTTTACTCATTTATCGCAGCTTCTCACCTCCCATTCGAGGGGAACAGCTGCTTCTACGTTCATGCTGATGATCGCTACAATCTATTTTCGAACATTTTTGCTAACTTCGTTGAAGCTTCTACTTCATCCCTATTCTTCCTATTATGGTGCGACAAGATTCGATCCAACATCAATTGCGTACAGCTCACCTCCTTCAATGCCATATTAACGTCGAGGAGCAAGCAAAACATTCGACCTTGTCGCATTCATTCGCCTGTGATGGCTTTACTTTGAGTAAGCGTTGCCAAATCAGAGATTTGTTTTTAATAAGGCATTGGTAAGACCATAGTTAAGACTATTCACATCATCAATATTGTCAATAATTCTCCTTCGCATCAAGCAAAAGTGTAGGGTCCACTTTAAGCGAACCCCCCACGTAATACTGATTACACTAGTTTACAAAACAACATAAAAAGTGTGAACTTTAGTGGTTGACCAACGTTTCTAATGCAAAATCCTACGCTGAATTCAATTCCGTGGTCAGAAAAAATTAAAGTAGAGCCATTTTTGAGATATACAAAAATTTTGATTTTTTGAATTTTGGACAAAAGTACGATTACTATAATGTCAATATCTTTGGAACTAGTTCACCAATTTTAAATCTTTTTTTATGAAAGGTAAGCTAAATAAATTTGCTATCGTTCACTTGAATATTATGTCTTAATTAAAAATTTAATTTTGAAGTCATTTAAAAATTTACAGCATTTTTTTTTTTTCCTGCGAATTTTCCATAAAAATCTTGTTTTAATCAACATTTTTAATGGGATAAAAAGATTCAAAAAAATCATTCCATCATTTATTCTTAAAGTCCATTAAAAACTGGAGAAAATGAGCCTTTAATGGATGAAATCGGTTGGAAATTGTCGAAGTTACGAAAATTTTTGTAAAATCATGGAAATTGAATGTTCCAAGATTGGCCGTTGTCCCGCTCCTAGGTTCATGCACCACTTCCAGTAAGCCTTTCTGCGGACGTGTACGCATACGGTGCATTTCACTAACACTACCAGCTGTCACGCAAAATTAAATGGGATATTTTCAACAATATAATTTACGCTAGTGTTTGTGAGACCGCTCGGCGAGAACCTAACGCAACCAACTCAATTTGACAGCTTTCTTTCTTTAACATTGCTTAACGATGTATACGACAAAACGTGAATTCAAGTATAAAAATGATCCTCAAAAGTTTTGTTACGCGTGTGGCAACTATATATTTACAAAATCGGTCAATTTCACTGCTTCGTTGCAAACTGCATACAGGCTTTATTTTAAAATTGATCCTGGAGACTTTGACGAACCGTGGATTCCACAAGTATTATGTAGTTCGTGCAAAACGTGCTTGGCTAGGTGGATGTCAGGCGCAAGGTAAATTGATTTTTTGAATAACTTTCATATAAACAATTTATGTACAGCATGGTAGTGCTTTGTTCTTTCCTGATCGACATTATCTTACTTCATCTATTTTTGATAAGTGTTAATGTCTTACTTACTAACTCACTTATTTGTTATCTGTCAGTCGCTATTTGTCCTTTGACATGCCCACCATATGGCGTCGACCGTTTTGTCATGCAACGGATTGTTATTTCTGCTTGACAAAAGTTAAGCAACAAGGACGTCACAAAACAGTTGAGTATCCACAAGTGGCTTCTATGACAAAACCTGTTCCACATTCAAGTTCGGTCCCGTATCCTGTTTATCCAAAGCGGAAACGAGCGCCCTCTGTTGAATCGACCGTTACAAAAAGTGAGGAGGAATTCAAGGAGGAATGCGAGGAAGACTTCGAGGTGGAATTGGAAAGAAACCCAAAACTGTTTACACAATCCGAATTTAATGATTTGGTGCGAGATCTCGACTTATTGAAGGAGAAATCCGAATTGCCGGCATCACGCTTGAAAGAACACAACATGCTGAGCAAGGAGGTCAAAATTTCTTGTCACAGGAATCGTCACAAGAAATTTGACAAAAATTATTCTACAAAGGACAAGGCATGTTTTTGCCATGACGTAAACGGCTTGTTTGAAGAGTTTGGTGAGCCATATGGTCCAGCTTGTGGTAGATAAGGTTGATGCGGAATAAAAATATTAATAAAATAAATAAAGAAAATACTTGAGAGTTGTGTCAAGTAATGCAACACTCCATTTGAGTTGAGCTAAATTAGCGTGAAGCATGACAGATGTGAAAGGAAATCCTGACACAGCAAGCAGTGCTGGATAAATGAGGGAAAAAACGGATAGTATAAATATGAGCTACCTAAACTTGTTGAAGACATTCTTGTAACGAACTTTGGAAGCGACGGATAGCAGCAGCAGCAGCAGCAGTAACAACAACAGCAGCAGCAGCAGTAACAACAGCAGCAGCAGTAGCAACAATAGTAGCAGCAGCAGTAATGGAAGCGGAGCGGCCGTAGCAGCCGAGATTCGTGTAGCCGTGACCGAGGCTGGAAACCTCGGTCCGGTCACGACACAAACGTTTAAAAAAAATGTGATTGTCATGACAATAATCAACAACCCTGAGTTGTTGTGATAAAATTGGCGTTGTTGTCTTGTCATTTGTCCATCTACCACACAGCTGAATGGCGTTTATTCATCGATAGCAGCAAGTTGAGCTTGAAAGCCGTTTTACTGCATCAAGGCAATGAGAAACCTTCTATTCCATTAGCTCATGCCGTTAATATGAAGGAAACGTATGAATCAATGGCTCTATTGCTCAATTTGATAAATTACAATCAACACAATTGGAAAATTAGTTCCGATCTTAAAGTGGTTGCCATGTTGACTGGATTGCAACAGGGATACACAAAATATATGTAAATGGGACAGTCGAGCTCGTAAGGAACACTACGTCCGAAAAGATTGGCCAAAACGGGATAATTTCACAATTGGTAAAGACAACGTTAAAAATGATCCTCTTGTGGTAAAAGAACGCATAATACTTCCACCACTACATATAAAACTTGGGCTATTCAAAAATTTCGTCAAAGCGTTGCAAAAATAAGGGCCGGCATTCCAGTACTTGAAATCAGTATTTCCAAATTTATCTGACGCAAAGATAAAGGAAGGTGTATTTGTTGGCCCACAGATCAAAAAACTGCTCAATGATTCCGCATTCAATACAGTTTTGACACCAGATGAGGAAGAAGCGTGGAAATCGTTCCAGCGTGTTGTCACAACCTTTTTAGGAAATTTCAGAAGCCCAGATTATGAGCAAGCCGTCGATGAATTGCTCAAAAATTATGAGAAAATAGGTATAAATCAAAAATATTGTGTTTGTTACATATAATTAATTTCAAATCCTTTTATTTCACTGAACACAGGTGTGCATATGTCTTTGAAGATACATTTCCTACGTTCTCACATGGATTTTTTCCCGGAAAATCTTGGTGACGAGAGTGATGAGCACGGCGAACGTTTTCACCAACAAATGAAGATGATGGAACGTCGTTACCAAAGGTTTTGGGATGAAGCAATGATGGGTGACTATTGTTGGTTTCTGATTCGAGAAACAAGATCAAAACATCGAAGACAAAGTCATTCGATTCTCAATCATTTTTAATAAAACCTAAATAAATTTCTTTTGTATCAACTCGGTTTTAAATCCTGATATGCCTTAATCAAATTGATATGTAGAGAAAACAATCTCCCATGAAAACTTTACATGCGATTTGGATGCTTACAACGACACCTAGAAAAGGAACTCTAAAGCTGTTGTATTTCAGCAACATTTTTAAGTGTTTTACAAAAATGCTCATAACTTCGACAATTTCCAACTGATTTCATCCATTAAAGGCTCATTTTCTCCGGTTTTGAATGGACTTTAAGAATAAATTATGGAATGATTTTTTGAATCTTTTTATCCCATTAAAAATGTTGATTAAAACAAGATTTTAATGGAAAATTCGCAGGAAAAATAAAAAAAAAATGCTGTAAATTTTTAAATGACTTCAAAATTTATTTTTTTATTAAGACATAATATTCTAGTGGACGATAACAAATTTATTTAGCTTCATTTTCATAAAAAAGATTTAAAATTGGTGCACTAGTTCCAAAGATATTGACATTTTAGTAATCGTACTTTTGTCCAAAATTCAAAAAATCAAAATTTTTGTATATCTCAAAAATGGCTCTACTTTATTTTTTTCTGACCACGGCATTGAATTCAGCGTAGGATTTTGCATTGGAAATGATCATCACCTTACCGAGTTCAAAAATGCTGTAAACTAGTGTTATGTGAACATAGAAATAATATTGTCAATATCGATGTGATTAATGTCAATAAAAGCAATCGTGTAGGGTCCACTTTATTGTTGGTTGCAACAAAAGCTGAACTGCTGAAAGTGCACATTTACGTCAAATCGGTTTGTAGTCTTCGGAGCACTAGGGTATTTTAGCTTCTTAAAGAATAAGTGCATCGAAGACAACAAACAAAGTATAGTATAGGTATAAGAGCAGAAAGGCTTTCAAAAAATATATAATTTTCCAAGATGATAGAGCTCGGCATTTTAAACCATTTGTAGTTTGTATGTGAATTACTTTGGGAGATCCATTTTTTTTTATTCTATATTAATCTGAGAGAAAGTTCGATAACTATTCTTATTGAAAATGCTCTCAGCTACAACATAGATCGTTTTTTAGTCAAACGACAAATGAAATAGTTATTAATTTCAGATAGAGCTGCAATAAAGGCGAATGTCGCAGGTGTAAACAAACTGAGGTAAATGCATCATGTCATACTACTATTAAAATGCTACAAAACGATATCTTTTTTTTTTAATAGTGTTCATCCTTC